CTCCATCAACTTGTGCCCATTACTCCTTGTTATGCCAGCAGGGGCTAGGGGAAACAGCGTCTCCCCCAAACCCTTCTGGTTCCCCCTAGTGAGTTTATAGACGGTCACCAGGTCCCCCCTCAGCCTTCTCTTGTGGAGGCTGAATAGGTTCAGGTCCCGCAGTCTCTCACTGTAGGGTCTGCCCTGTTGTCCCCGGATCATGCGGGTGGCCCTCCTCTGGACCCTCTCCATGTTGTCCACATCCCTCCTGAAATGGGGCGCACAGAACTGGACACAATACTCCAGCTGCGGCCTGACCAGCGTCGCATAGAGGGGGAGGATCACCTCCCTGGCTCTACTCGAGATGCACCTGTGGATGCACGACAAGGTCCGGTTAGCCCTGCCAACCATGACCTCGCATTGTCGGCCCATGTTCATCTTGGAGTCAATAATGACACCAAGATCCCTTTCCGCCTCCGTGCTCTCAAGTAGGGAGTTCCCCATCGTATAAGTGTGCTGCTGGTTCCTACTACCCAAGTGCAGCACCCTGCACTTGTCCGTATTGAAACACATCCTGTTCCTGTTTGCCCACCCCTGTAACCTATCCAGATCCTTCTGCAATCTCTCTCTCCCTGCTAGCGTGCTCACCTCCCCCCAAATTTTGGTGTCATCAGCGAATTTAAACAGGTTGCTTTCCACCCCAACATCAAGATCGCTGATGAAGAAATTGAACAGCGCAGGCCCCAGGACCGAGCCCTGGGGGACTCCACTACCCACCTCCCCCCAAGTCGAGTATGATCCATCCACCACCACCCTCTGAGTGCGACCCTTCAGCCAATCTGCAATCCATCTGACCGTGTAGGCATCTATGCCACAGTCGCCTAGTTTATTAATTAGGATGGGGTGAGAGACGGTGTCAAAGGCCTTGCTGAAGTCCAGAAAGACTACATCCACCGCGACACCTGCGTCCATGGCCTTTGTGACCTGATCATAAAAGGCAATCAGGTTGGTCTGACATGATCTCCCCCTAATAAATCCATGCTGATTGCCCCTGAGCATCATTTCTGATGCCGGCCCATCACAAATGTGCTCCTTGATGATCTTCTCAAAGAGCTTCCCCAGGATTGAGGTAAGACTGACGGGCCTATAATTGCCCGGGTCCTCCCTTTTCCCTTTTTTGAAGATGGGGACCACATTAGCTACCTTCCAATCGTCTGGCACCTGGCCCAAGCACCACGATCGCTCGTAGAGCCGTGCCAGGGGCCCTGCAATAACCCCAGCCAGCTCCCTCAGCACCCTGGGGTGGAGAGCATCCGGACCCGCTGACTTGAACGCGTCCAGCCCCTCCAGAAGCTCTCTAACCCGGTCCTCCCCAACCTGAGGTCTGAAGGCGATCCCCTCGCGTCCGGCTTCTATCACAGCAGGGAAGTCCCGGTCCCTGCACAAGAAAACGGAGGTGAAGAATTGGTTAAAGAGGTCCGCTTTATCCTCTGACGCAACCACCAGATTGCCCCGCATATCCTGCAGGGGCCCCACATTACCCGGCGCCTTCTTCATCCTCCCAATATATTTGAAAAAGGACTTTTTGTTATCCTTAATCCTGGACGCTAATCCGAGCTCTATCTCCGCCTTGGCCTTCCTAACAGCCCGCCTGCAGGCCCGAGCAGAGGAGGTATACTCCTCTTTGGAGATTACACCCCCCTTCCACCGGGCGTACGCCACCCTTTTGGCAAGCAGGCATTCCCGGACACCCTTGGTGAGCCAGGGGGGCTTTTGGACACTCCTGCCCGCCTTGCTTCTTGTCGGGATGGACACCCCTTGGGCCCCGAGTATCGTTTCCTTAAGGAACGACCACTCCTCTTGGACGCTGAGTTCCTCTGCCCTCAAGGACCCCAGTTCCTCTCCCACTAATCTCCTCATCTCACTGAAGTTGGCCCTCCTGAAGTCTAGGGCCACCACCTTGCTGCGGGCCCTTGACACTCTACGCTGGATGGTGAATTCCAGCACGCGATGATCACTATTGCCCAGGTGGTCAAGAACCTGGAGGCCTCTTACCAGGTCGTCGCCTGCGGCCAGGACCAGGTCCAGCAGAGCATCTCCTCTGGTGGGACTGTGCACCTCCTGAATCAAGTGGAGGTCCTGCAACTCGGCCAAGAACCTCCTGGAGCGGTCCGTCCCGGCTGACTGCTCCTCCCAGCAGATGTCCGGGTAATTAAAATCGCCCATGACAACTACATCCCTTGCTTTTAGTGTCTCCGCAAGCTGGCCTGAAAATTCCCTGTCCAGCTCCTCCTCCTGATTGGGGGGTCTGTAATAGACCCCCACCGTCAAATCCCTCTCGCCTTGCCCCCCCTGGATCTTGACCCAGAGCACTTCAGCTCGCCCTTCCCCTGACCCCATACTGCTGGCAGAGGATGTGTAGTGCTCCTTGACATAAAGTCCCACCCCCCCCCCTGATACCCACAGGCATGCCAGAATAAGGAACATGGCTTTAAGTGAAGAGGTAATGTACAGGAAGAAAAAGTAACTATAGTATACTACATACAAGTAACTTTTTATATGTGGTTACATGTAGTTACCTGAAAGTCTGACCAAACTTATAGAAGTGATGCCACCAAATTTAATATTCACTTGTGCAAATACCTACAATGCAAATATCCAAATGACAAAACCAGCATGCACATGCTGATTAGGTTCTCAGAGCATATACTTGAGTTTATACCATTCTAGGCCCTTGGTGCTACTCAGGGAGAGCTTTAATGATACCTGTAGCAGTGCTAAGCACACACGGTAACAGAGAAGAGGCATAAACTTAGCTTGCTAGGCATCTTTTCACTAATCACTAGTTTAGGTTGATTACAAGTCTGCGCGAGATACACAGTGAGTCAACAGCCACTATAGCTCCATTCTTATACTAGTTTTGGGTTAGCCTCGAAGTCCCTCATAATGCGGTCAGGGTTGCCTCTTGCCGCGTCGTTCGTACCCACATGGACGACAACCATGTGGTGCCGGTCTGCAGGCCGGATGCAGGCCGGGATCCTCTCCGTGATGTCCCTGACCCGAGCCCCAGGCATGACACAGACCTGCCGTGACATGGGGTAGGGCCTGCAGATCGGACCTTCCAGCCCTCGCAGGAGGGACTCCCCGATGACTAGGACCCGGCGTTTCTTCCTCCTGGTGTTCTCTCTCCTCCCAGTCTCTGTCTTGCGTGGAGCGGCATCGTCCCCTGCAGGGCCGACTCCTCTGCCCTCATCCGTCACCGCTGCCAAGGCATCAAACCTGTTCCCCAGCTGAACCTGGGGGGCTTCCACTGCTCTCCGCCTAGCAGCTCTAGATTTGGGCACCATCTTCCACTCCTGCGATGGCTGCGACTCCTGTGGGGGCTGTACCGTGGGCGACCGGGCCTGCAGAGAACAAATCAAATTAATGAATGTTGTAGTACACGTTTGATTTTTAGAATATAATTTGTTATTTTTCTGGTTCCGAGATGGCAAAACCCTTTGCTGAAAGGAGTACTTCTGGGGGGGCAAGGGGAGGGACTTCTAGTAGCAAAGGTCAGGGGTTAGGGGCAGAACTTCTGGTCCCAAGATGGTGACCAGGGGGACGGGGCGCCTATCAAGGGGCGGGGCTATCCATGTGGCCCTTGATGGCTTGCCAAAACTATGTAGGCAGCCCTCTGCCTGAAATAATTGCTTCCCCTGTGCTACACCATTATTCTGTTATTTGGTCTTGCCTATAATAGGCTGTAACCAGAGATTGTGCCAGTTGTCAGAACTACTGTGCCAACGGAAGCTTGGGCCCAAAATGTTACTAGTACAGGTGCACCAATACATCGGTCCATATTGTATCGGCACCAATAAAAGAAATATTAACATTACCAGCACTCAGCTTTTTTTTGGCTGATGTGGCCAATAATGTCACTGATAAATGCCGCGTGCATGCACAGCCGCAGTGCAGCATGCAGCCAGCCAGAAGCACAGCCTGACTGCGTGGAGAGTGGTGTCCAGCAGGTAAGTCTGTTGGTGGGGAATGGGGGAGGGAAGGGGCATGGGGGTGGGGCAGGCACTGCCCAACCGAGGCGTGGTGCAAGACAGAGCAATGGCTTGTCTGTGGGGCATGGGGAGGGGGCAGTTCCCACCGCTGCATGCACCCCAGGGAAGCCATGGAGGGGGGGGCCTCCCCCGCCCCAATCTGTGTGAGGCGAAAGCAGGCTGGGGTAGGGGCAGCACTGGGCTCTTCCCGGCAGGGGGGCTAGACCAAACTGCACTTGGAGTGAGCGGTGGCGGCTCTGCAATGGGGGCTACGGCGAATTTTGGGGTGGCTGCAGCGCGTCCTATAGCCCCCATCCCAGCATTGCCACTGCCCACCCCAAGTGTAGCCTGGTCCAGCCCCCTGCTGGGAAGAGCCTGGCCCCAGCCAGCAGCAGCAGCCTGCCCTCACCATGTGCACAGATCTGGGAGCATATAACTTATAAATGCACCAGTGTTTACTTTCTTGTTTTGTACAGCAGTATGTGAACATCTATTTAAAACATGAGTTACTGTTCGCTCAAAAAAAAATTATGAGCAACTTATATTTCCTTGTTGACTTTTTGTGGTATTATGTCAGTACTGCTTTGAGCCAAATAGAGTTGTTATGGTACAAAATTATGTATTCATACTTATTATTTTTCTGGATATGTCTTGTCATCTCACTTTTTGAATAAGACCTACTGTCATGCTGCTGGGTAAGAAACTAAACACAACAATAGCTAGAAAGAAGAAAAGGCAGAGATTCCTAAATCCACTATCACTAATACTCACTTTATGCATACTATATCTCACTTTGCATCCTGCTTAGTGCACACACTTGCATACTGTTAAAGAAATAGAGGAATTTCCTTGATAAGCTATCTGGCAGTGCCTTCAACTTTTCAGTAATGTATACTGGAAGACAGCCTTTAAATGTTAGCTTAAATTGTTTGGTTAATTAGATTATTTTAGGTGTTGTTCCTTACCTTTACTTAATTTGTTTTCCTACAGGTTCATGAAGAATTTATTAATAACACAGCAAATATTACAGTTGAGAGCTTGATACAAAAATTTGCTGAGTTAAAAGGCACTGGCAAAGAGAGACCTGGTAAGAGATTTAAAAATGCAAGAAGAATTGAAAATTTCAGAATGTTTGCTAAGCTTGCAATTCTGATCATTTGTATAGTGTACAGCATTATGTGTTTCTTTCCCTGCAGTGACTTTCTAAAAATATGGCAACTGACTTCAGTACATGTATTCATGAGTTATTTGAGGGGGGGTCTTAGCTATTTGAGCATTATATGTCAAACAGTATCTCTTACATTGTCCTGTGTCATGATGGATTGCTATAAATGTCAGTAAATTCCAGTTTTTGATCCCTTGTGCATTTTTACCTCTGTCCTTCGTGTTTTATGCAAAATATTTGGTTAGGTAATCAAACTATTATAATTACACTTATGTTAATACCGTAGCTATATATAGTTTCTGTTTCTACTGATTTAACTATCTCTGTATTGAAATGTAGTGCTACTAACTAGAAATGCAAAACTCCAGGACTCTTGGTTCAGAGATGATACTTTTTATTACACCAACTAAGAAATTGCAAAAAAAATATCTTTTTCTGCAAGCTTTTGGGCACATAACCTTCCTTCGGCTTAGGGAAAATTCAAGATGGTAAAAAGTCCCCATAGGTAGAAAATAAACTTCATTTTTGCACAGAGGAAGCTGAAGGTGGAAGTCTTGTTCCTCTGGGTCCATGAGAGTTTCTTTGTGAGTTGTTCTTTGATGTGCAGATAAGGCAGGATTTCCTTCCCTGGTGGTGTCAGATGGCAGAAAGGCAGGGAGGTGTAGAACTCTTTCTTGTTGTTCAGCAATGAAGTTTAAATCCAATTTAGTTACTTTTAGTTTAGTGAACTTAGTTACTTTTAGTTCTCTTATTTCCAGAATTCTACATGTAATAATTTTGCCAGTAGCTATTTCTTACATATTTTCTCTTTAATCAGCAGCATAACTTTCCTTAGGTGCAAACATTAAGTATATTCTGTAAATACTGCTTACTGTTTATACTTCATAATATTACTGGACTCTGACACAAGTGGAATGTGTGTGGAGCATCTTACACTATTATGTACCCAAGACTGAAGGAAAAAATGTGACTTACTGGGCTATTTGAGAAATACCATGTGGTCATATTTCTAGATTCTGTGTAGGGGATAAGAGTTGGGTAGTATCCCTTTAATAATGTGAGCACTATCTAGCAGGCCTCCCTGTCATCTGTTGCAGGAGCTAACAGAATCCCGACAGAGAGCAGTATTGCACATAGCTAGCTGAGTCGTGTGTGTGTGTGTGTGTGTGTGTGTGTGTGTGTGTCCAGTTAATAAACAGTTATTTAGAAACTGTGCCTGTGCCTATATGATTTCCCCACATTCATAATATTGTATAGAGAACAAGAACACAACATGTTATAATGAATATGTAAAGGTGGGTAGATTTAAAATTGTGTATTCAGCCAAAACTTGATATTTCCTGAATTTATTTTCCTGTAAATTTGTCTTTAAAAATAAAGATGAGGAATAAAGATTAAAGGGAGAGAGAGATTTTTTTAAGTACCTTTGAGGTGGCACATTCCTATTCCACCCTGCCACAAAGCTGCTAAGGTGCCTAGGTTCATTATATGCCTGAGATCTGTAGGCAGCTAGACTTTTTATACATATGGTTAGAAGCAAGCTAGAACAGCCACATAAATGTCTGCGTCCCCCTGAAGTTCTGTTGTGATCTAATTCCATCTAGGAAGCATATAAATTCTGCAATTCCTGATTCCTCAGGCAAAGGAAAAAACAGCAGACCAGGCAGCTGTTTCAAGCCAAGATTGTGCATACAGCTCAATGAAGGACTCAGCCAACTTTTGCTCAGTAGCCTAGTTTTAGAGCACTTGGCCAGAAAGTGAGAGGGCATGGATTTTAGGATCTACTCAAATCAAGGACATTACAACCTCCATCTGCTGCTTCCCAGGACAGTGTCCCAGTTACCACACTAAACCATAACTAAATTAGTCATCAGATAAACAGCACTGGTAGTGGGGGCTGCAACTTAGTCTGCTTCCCTCCCAGGGAAAGTGCCCTTCTTACTGTGCTGCAGTCTTCTTGCTTCCTTGCTTCTGGTCCCAGGACTTTTGCCTTCATTTCTGTCTGGTCAGCCAGCTTCAGCAGGCAGGTGGGAGTGTGTCGACTCTGCCTAGTTTATGGTTTGGCGGTTAGGGCATTGTCCTGGGAGGTGAGAGATGTGAGCTCCAACCTCCTGAGGGTGAATGGATTTTATAACCCAAGTCTTCCTCTTCCTGGTCAAGTTACCCAACCATTATGCTATTGGATAGAAGATGGTTAAGTCCTTATTCCCCTTCCTACTATCCTTATTCTTCTCTGATTTGGTTTGCTTTACCTTTCTAGACACAAGACACCCCTTGTTATACTCAGGCAATCCCTTGGAAAATGACAGCTCTTAGTTTTACTTGTTTTATTTGACTACAGAAAAAGAAAGCAAGTCTTTTGTTGCAAAGAGCTCCGAAAGACCACAACAGGTTCCAGAATGTTTTGACACTTTGGTTTCCTATTTAAAATATCTAGGTTTATCTTGTGAATCACATGCAAGTGTTTGTGTACCTGAAGTTGCTAGTATTGAGCAGCACGTGACATCCTTAAAAGTATCTTTTGATACCCCCAACACTCTTGATACCTCAGCACTGGTTGAGAATTACTGCTTTACAGTGAAGTCAGTTCTGCCGCCATTTAGGCATAATGGTTCAGGTAGACATCTCGCTTCTGTAGAAAGTGAATCCTAACATGATGGCAGTGTATAATGCTACCCACTGAGCAAATGGGAGATCCATGCAAATCCCCAGGGTGAAATAAGATTGCTTTCATGAGGAAAGATGTAGTTTTGGGGAAATTAACTGCTAAGTCTTACATGTGTAGTAGCATAAGTTTTGGACTATTTTGTGGAAGCCCCACCTAACTCTGTCATATTGCAAAGTACTCAGTGACTGAGCTGAGTTAGCCTAAGATACTCGTATCTCAACCCATGCACGCTTCCATTACATTATTTGTTATGCAGCATACATGCACACACCCTAATAAAAGCATAGATTTCCTTTGTTGTTTAATTCAGTAAAGAAAATTCCACACATTGCAAGCATACTTGCAGTGTTTTCAGATGCAAAGATTAAAATACAAATTGGTGTAGCAGTCCTCCAAATCTACAAACTGAAGGAACACAGACACAATTCTGTGTGGAGAAAAGGAGATTAAAGGGGACATGATAGCATGAACTAGAGTCTATGCTCTTAACTAAGTTGGGAGTTGCAGACAAAGAGGTGTTTCTTTAGAGGCTTAAAGGTGGCAAAGACGCTAGCTGATCAATGTTCAGGAGGGAAAACTGCAGTTACAAGGTCAAAACAGCTGAGAATCTAGGAACAGGGGCAATAAGATGTAAGGCAATGAACCAGTTTAGGACTGATGATTAAAAATCCACAGGACTGTGTAGCCACCTCTTGCAGCTCTCTAGAGGTTTTCCTTTGCCAACGTATGTCAAGCAGAAGGCATATAACCACTAGTCAGGATAGCGGTATGAATTAATGAAATTTTGTGAATCAATGCATACCTAGACATAAATTACATCTGTCAAAGTACATTTTTATTATCTGTAATTACATGTTAAATTCATTTACTAGTATATTTGTAAAGTAGATTGAATATTTTGAGAAACTGCAACAAGAGGTAGAAACAGACTGAAAATTCTTTGTGTGGATTACTAAAGTTTTAAGCAGTTTATGGATAAGGGAATTCATTTGCTTAAACTGTGTTGATATATGTATTTGAATCTTTGTTTTAGTACAATTTTTATGTTCTACATGGGATTATGTGGGCTCCCTCTGGTGGCTCGCATTTGTCATCTGAAGACTTCTAAAACAATTTTAAATTGTTCTTTTTCTTGATATACTGGTTCACTGTTTCGGTGGAAATTGTGTGTACCTTGAAGAGAGAATACTTGCCCAGTTTCCAAGTTCTGTTTTGGATTTGTGGACTTCCTTATATATTAGTTCTCTAATATAAAACTATTTAAATAATTTTGTCAGGCAGTTGTCTTTTACTCATCTTTTACTCTTTCCAAATTTGGTTTAAAGAACACATGGAAGGATAAGTTGTTAACTTATAGTACTGTTTAAGGTACATGTGGAAATGCTGGGGGGGCGTTCTTCAAAGTAAAACAGATGGTCTGTAATTAATACTTTCAGCATAAACAGGAGTACAAATTCAAGTTACATTTTCATTTTTTTTTGTTCATTGAAAACAATTCTTTCACTTATTAAGGCAGATTACAAAAAAGATTATACATAACATTTCTGAAAAAGGAAGGGAATGGACTTAGAAAAATATTAGTCATGTCCTTTATCTCTTTTAATATCAGATATGCTTCAGACCAGAATTTGGTATGTAGATTGTTGGATAATTTTCTAAAAGTCAGATGATTTCCTGTTAGATTTATAAGCAGCTTTTAATGCCATCAGTCAGATTCTATTGAGTCTCATAGCTTGTATTGGAATTGTATTTGTCATTTTATTTGGATAAATTTCATCTCATTATCAGGGTGGCAGCTCCTTGGCTCTGAAATGTGGCATTACGGAAGATGTCCGGTCACTTTTTTTTTTTCTACGTATGTTACACTATTAAGAAAAATGATATAGTTTATGCCCTAGCAGCAGCAATGTATTGATAATATACGGTTCTACTTTCTTCATGAAGATAAATAATCGTGTTCACCTTCTTCCAACATGAGAAATTAATTCTTGGACAAACAGCAGTTTAATCAAGTCAAGTTAAAAAAAATACGCAAGTGACACTGCTTATGCAGAAAAATTTTTTGAAGATTTGCCAGGAGTTATGATCTCCATTTTTAAGGGTTTCTGCCTCAGCTTGACATAATAGTGTATAGTATATCAGAATACTCTTAAATGCTCAAATGGAAAGAATGGTAAGTAAACAAGGTGGATAGGGCAGGGTGAAACAGGGAAGGATTAATGGCTAACTCTCAGGAAGGGCTGTGGCCTTTTAC